AAAAAAAAAAGTCACGTTAACATACTCACCCCATCAGTCGTCTGCATTAAAAATCATGATTCTAGCACTTTTTAGAATTAGGATTGGTGTTAGAGTAGTTCCCTTGCAAAAATTCCTGTCGAAACCAAAAGACTGTTTTCAGTTCCCGTACTTCTCTGTCCCAGATCTGTGAATTTGTGCTGGCGAATTTTCTGACTTTGTTGAGAAAGCTCGACCGCAGAAGTTTCATACTAATCATGATAGTGAGTAATATGGGAATGGAAACTCGAAAACAAATTTTGGTTGTTGTTGCTTTTGCTCCTTCGAGGATAATGCTGTTTTCTCTCGGAAGGTCGTGGGTCAAAAGAGCATAGTGAACTTTGCTTATTTTGCGCTGGAAGCGGTTTGTTCAGGCTTTTTCAGAGTATGAGTCATATCTCTCCTTGACTATTGTTCATACCACTTCAATTTTCTGGTTTTTGGCGATTCATTGCTGAAACAGTTCCAGAATTCAGAGGCAGCTGTTGCTGATGTGGCTGTTGCTTATACCAGTTGTATAAAAAAAGTATATAAATGTATAAAGATTCAAATCAAAGTACATATTTAAGTATGGGCGAACAAATTAGTCAACAAATGAATTTAAAAATGCCCTTGTTTAAACATAAATGTATGGGCCATTCCATACCAAGTCGCTCACTTTTGACTTTCGGTTTCTTAGATTTTTTTCATTTTTCCTACTTGTATCACTTGATACGGGATTTTGAAACCGAAAGAGTCTACTTCAAAAAGTGTGCTGGCGGCAGAGTTAGACCGCTTTAAAGTGCAAAAGAAAAAACGCAATTCATTCTCGACACAGTCACCTTTTAAGAATTTAGATTTTTCTCACTTCGCGACGGATTTTCCTAATTTTCTTTTTTTTTTTTTTGAAAGCTTTTTTTACGCAGATTTAGAAAAATGGTAAAACGCTTACATTAGCAAGTTTTGTTTCAGTTTAAAATAGAAACAAAAATTCAATACGCTTTTTCTTGAAAACAGACGTGTTAAATTTTTTGCAAAAGAAATATGTCTCAAAAAAATAATTGTTGCACAAAATATAAAAATTGCAAAATGGTATCTTTTCAGCTTTAAAAGTTACAGTACGATTAGTGGCATTAACCTAGGAAAAGTCCTTGACTAAAGCAGCATTCTGGCGTTTTCGCAAGTTACAGAACCTCTGTTTCAATTAAAGTTTTTATTAATTGTAATAACATATATGATTCTTGGAGAACTCTTCAATTCTACTACTCCAGTACCGAAAAATTAGTCAAAATTTATCTACTTTTGAACAATTTTACAAAATTTTTTTTAGAAAAAATCACGACTATGACTACTTTCGGTTTGTATCGCTTTGCTTGCTTATTGAAACCCTCTAACCCAAATATTTCACTTTTGGTACTGTTTTTTTGATTGCTAGTATTGCTTTTCTTCTACTTTTGCAGCAGTGCATTAATTTGAGACTTGGAGATATATTGAGAAGACTAACAACGACGGCTGGCATTAAAGAGTCTTTTCCAATTCAAGTCTTAACTCAGAATGACCTTTATAATTAGGCTCCGAAAAAATGAAAAGAAATACTGATGATTTTTTTGATGATTCAGTATTTTCACAAGAATGTAAAAGGTAGGGAGCGTTTCCAGCACCACGTTTTCGAGAAAATTCACCAGTTAAACGTATGAAAAATTCCACAACGTTATACTAGAAAACGCTGAGAACAAAAATAGCAAAACAATACTTGCAATAAAATACCAGTACCGAGTATGACATATTTGGGTTAGAAGGGTTCAACAAGCAGTCAAAGCGATACATACTGAAAGTAATCAGAGTCGTGATTTTTTCTGAAAGAAAATTTTGTAAAATTGTTCAAAAGTAGATAAATTTTGACTAATTTTTCGGTACTAGAGTAGTAGAGTTGAAGAGTTCTCCAAAAGTTATATATGTTATTACAATTAATAAAATTTTAATTGAAACAAAAGTTCTGTCACTTGCGAAAGCGCCAAAATGCTGCTTCAGTCAGGGACTTTTTCTAGATTTATGCCACTAAGCGTACCGTAACTCTTGAAGCTGAAAAGATACCATTTTGCAATTTTCATATTTTGTGCAAAAATTATTTCTTTGAAACTTATATCTTTTGCAAAAAATTTAAAATGTCCGTTTTTGAGAAAAAGCGTTAGAGTTTTTGTTTTTATTTTAAACCGAAACAAAACTTACTAATGTAAGCGTTTTACCATTTCTCTAAATCTGCGGGAAAAAAGCTTTCAAAAAAAAAAGAAAAAGAAGGAAAATTTGTCGCGAAATGAGAAAAATATAAGTTTTTAAAAGGTGAATATGTCGAGAATGAGTTGCGTTTTTTTTTTTCGCACTTTAGAATGGTCTAACTTTGCCACCAGCAAACTTTTTGAGGTAAAATTTTCCGAATTCAGAATCGAAAAATTCAAAAATAAATAAATAAATAAATATATAAAATATAAATATATATATATATATATATATATATATATATATATTTATTTATTTGTTTATTTAATATATATATATATATATATATATTTATTTATTTATTTATTTATTTATTCATTCATTCATTCATTCATTCATTCATTCATTTATTCATTTGTTTATCTATCCACTCATTCATTCACTCGTTTATTTATTTATGTATTTCTTACTGTTGTTTATGTTTATCTTTTTCTCAGTTTTTTCTTAAATTTACCTGTATATTATAAATTTATTTTGCGGGTTAGTTTCATATGCTGCTGACATCCCCTGTAATAGTGGAGTATTTTTTGGAAAGAAAAAAGTCCAAGAATTCTTTTCTTGCTCGTTCTTTCTGTTAAACAGGCCTTCAAAGAACCATTAGGTTATTTTCCAGATTATTCAGGCACTTTTTGACTTTTCCTGGTCTTCACCTTTTCCGACCGAAAGTAAACAGTGCTGCGTTTATCAAAGCAGGTATGTAGAAGGCTGGCCGACTTTATGCCACTTTTTACAGAGGTAGATTCGTTGTACATCTCTGAGAGAGAAACGCACAAAAGTATAACGTGCGTAAAAAACGTGAAGTCTGGTTTGTTCTTTAGGCTTTTAAAAAGTATCCGTTGGAGCGACGGATTGGAAATTTGACGGAGCGTTAAATTACGCTGCCTGGTCTTCTTGTGAGGTTTCGGTAAATGCTGCATTTTATCTGACACAGCAGTAATGG